TGTGAATTCTCCTTCACATCTTTCCCTAACCTCATGATGTTCTCCATCAAAGTCGAGGAGACGTGGTTAGAAAGGAGATTATTTAGACTTTTCAACCGCAGCCTGTGTCTCTAGGTGAGATGAAACCAACCAACCAATCATTAGAGACTTGAGGCCGATAGAAGTTGTTTCTCCAAAGATAATATGCACAATATTTGCAGTATCATTTCAGTTTATATATTCTTACACGTGACGTGAGGATAATTGTAATGCAGATTGATTTTGTATCAACTCACTGCCACTTGGGGAAAATGAAACAAGCTGGAAACACAACATACTGTATCTGATGCATGGTCAGAGTATAATTCTGTCACTTCTGCCACAAGCAGCACCTTTCATGTGATACATTTGATCCGCAGTTAACACGAACATATCGACTAGTGCAGCTTCAGGATCTAGAAAGAAACCTTTTAACAAATAACACCATGAGTTAGACTGATGTCTGCTTCAATGTAATACATTTATAAACCACCAGTCCTGCCAAGGTCAAGTATGAGTTGAGACATTTGCAACAGTGTTGGTTGTAATGCATCTGAAGGCTTGAAGGACACGTAATTCTCTTTAATCAGTAGAATTCATGTAATTCACTTGAGATGAAGAGAATGAACACATTTCACTTTCTTTGACCAAACAAGGGACAGGAGGTTGCTAGGAAACAGTGACTTTTGAAGAAAGTGTATTTAGTACACTGTGATAATGTTACCGGTGCTCAGAGAGTTGGTGAACACCAGTGCTGCTGACTGAAGCACAAAAAGCCTAATAGCACCTGCTCTAATGTGCTTTACAGCCTTTTTCAAAACAGCAGCGATAAAGCTTCTCAGCAGTGGCTTTTATTTGCATGTGGAAGTATTCAAAGCAGTGCAGCTGAAAGAGTTTTCACACTGTGCAGCACACTGTGAAAAGGTGCACACAGACTTTGTCTATTCATGTTGGCACAGTTATACAGTGCAGGGTTTTTCTATTATGCAAGTTGTACGTGCAGCACAAAACAATACAAAATCTCTTATTAAGATGTGATCAGTCTTTGTGACAGTTTACTATGTGAACATGTCAGACTGAGTAATGAAGAAAAATTAAGTGAAATTTTATCATCTCCACCAAGGAGGTTGTTGGTTTGTTTCTTTGTGTGTTTGTGTGTTGGTTTGTCAGCATGATTACACCAAAAGTAGTTCATTGACATTTTCGTTCATTTCTCAGGAAATAATTTACAGATCGTGGTGTAAAAATGTTTTTTCTTTGATTTTGTACAGTTTGATGCAGATCCAGATAATAATGTGGATGTCTGCGACGTGTAGGATTGTTGTTGATGTAGTTGATTATTGTATCATCACTCGTATCAACATACATCATGGTGGAGATATTTGCAAATGCTACTTCGCCTGCATTTCACTGTCTTTGATCTTGAGTCAGGTTGGTGCTTACACGTCTGCAGTATTATTCTCACTGAGGTGTGACATCTGTGTGCTTCAGCCCTTTCCTGTCTTTGGTTCTGGCAATTAACTGAGCGCAGCTACCTCATCTCAGGCCCACAGGATCTGACAGCTGAGAGAAACAGGGCAGCACACCCTCAGTGCCTCAGCCTCAGTGCATCATCCAGTTGTAAAGCTTTGAATAGATTAGCGCCACTGTTGTAGTCTCCGAGGTTCGGCCATTGTGAGTGTGTATGAGTTGTACAGTTTGCTAGCTGCTTTGGCCATGGCATTAATTATAGTGCAGCAAGGACCAAATCCATGTGCACCCACATAGTGGTAAGCCATAAAAAGTATTAAAGTTAAAGTCTGTAATTCTATAGAAATGTGCATTTCACCTGCTTCCAGCTCTCTGACAGTCTAATAATCATTTTCCTTGTGCATTTGTCATCCTTGCCTTTCTGTGCTCATTACAATAGCCTGAGACAAACCTTCCATCCTTGACTTGTGCATTTGTGCAGTGACTCACCCCTTGATGATGTCACAACTCCTCAGTTGCCATGGAAGTCGTCATGGCAACCAGTGTCTAGGTTCCAGTAACAGAGACAGGAGGGATTCTGACGAGGAAGCTGAAGGGGGTTAATATTGATAGTTGGGTCTAATTATTTTCCACTCTGCAGAATGAAGAGTCCAGCTTTATTCTGCTCCTCACACAGGTGCTGTGCTCACACGTTTTCTGTTATCCTCACAAGTTAATGGATGCAGTATTACACCAAAACAACTAGTGCAACAGATGAAGTATCTGCAGCAATGCTCTGACTGCTCAGTCAGACTAATGTAGAGGTACAGTGAGTCCCTTGTAACCTCTTCACCCTTTAAAACTGGTGTCTTCTCTCTTTTGGGCTTTAATTATCTATATCCATCAAAGTATGAAAGTGATGTGTAGAGGATGAGAAGATTATAATGTATGATATACACCATGCACACCTCCTTATTCATGCATAAACTCCTGGCTGAGGTCAGGAGCCTCACTTCATTTTCACATCAGAATAAGAACAAATGTGATCTGAGTGACTTTGAGTGTGGCACGATGTTGGTGTCAGAAGAGCTGGTTTGAGTGTTTCTGAAACTGCTGACCTCCTGGCATGTTCTCAGCAGTCTGCTAATAGAAAAACAGAAATATAAAGATGTCACTTTGTCACTTTAGACACGGCCCGGACAGCTGTTTACCCCAGTCTTTATGCTAAGGTAGGCTAACCAAATCCTGACGAACAGGCACATTTCACAGTTTCCTGAAGTTTCATGTTGGATATCCCTGTTTATACTAATGCGTAATACATTGTTAATAAAGCAGAGAGAATTATGAGGCGGCTGCCTTTGTCAAATTTTGTGCCGCTTCCAGCACTATTATTTTTCTTGTTTTTCACTCTATGGATTTCTGTAGATCGGATTTCCGATGTTTTCCCTTCATATGTCTTAGCCCAACCCAAAATTCTCCTGGTCGACTAGTAGTCGTTAGTTTAAATCCTTAGTCGACTATTCATTGCACCTTTATGATATTCATTTAACTATTTAAATATAGTATATGGAGGGGGGGGCAACAGAAAATGGTTTGAGTCCAGGGCTGAGAGTAACACTACTAACACTGCACTATATTACAGAGAAATACAAAACCATAATAATGAGCCTTTAGAAACGAAGCTGTAATGAATCCGAATGTGTCAGAACAACCAGCAAAGAGAACGTTAGAGTAAGTGGCCATGCTAAGTGGCTAATGTTAGGTTACTTACATGTTTGAAATGATAAGCCGTGTTTGAGCTGATAGATGAACGATAGTTTGCGTGCTGCTTTCTCGGGGTTGTCCTCAAGCCTCTTGAAATGATCCCAGACTTGTGATTTCCTGCCTGACATGCTGGCCTGTAGTTACTGTGACAGATTGTCCTGTGTTTACTGTGTACTGCAATGAACAATGTCTATGATGACTGTGTGTGACAGTGGCCACTTCATGTGGAGTTTTATTTATTTCTTTTTTCCCTGTGACCAACCGACTAATCAAAACTTGGTTGACTAAGACTCTTCTCATCAACTAATGTTTAGCCCTTCCTGTTAACCCTTAAACCCCCAGGAATATCCTCTCCCACCCGCACATTGTCATATATCAGACCAGGTAAGCAGCAACGGCCTGCACCCATAACAAAACTGCATCACAGCAGCAGCAGAGACAAGGTCAGGTTTCCCGACCACATCTGCTCTCAAGTTACAGGGGATCTTTTCCAAGCTGGCATTTTCCTTGAGATATCTTGTCATCATCTCTGACCTTCACATATCAGTCAGTTTGTTCAGTTTTAATTTGACTGCTTTGACTTCTGTGTCACTCTAGAATCAGATTTCCAGCATTGACTTTGTACTTTTTTGTACATGTATGGACTAAATGACCGTCTAACGAAAACACAATATAATCTTACATTTGTAAAATGCATTTCAATGAACGACAAACAGAAATAGTTTTTTGTGCCATGATTAAGCTTTGGACAACTGATGTCACGGTCCGTGTGATGTGTATCAGTATCACAACCACTAGGTGAGGACTTAAAAATCCTGGGAGGAAGCCGGAGAAACCGGAGAGAACTCACGCAGGCACAGGGAGAACATGCAAACTCCACACAGAAAGGCCCCAAGCTGGTGGTTTGAACAGGGCTAACCACCGCACCAATGTGCCGCCCTCTGGACTAAAAAATACACGACTCAAAGCAGCAATCAGAGGCCGGGTCTTTAATGGAAACCAGGTCGGTACACAGGAAGCCAGCCAGGCAGGGCAAACAAATCCAACGGCTGAGGCAAAAGACTAGGTCGATCAAGAAACAGGTCAGACACACAGTAGACTAGACACAGAGAGAATGCTGGAATGCTTGCTACTAAGAATGATGACGAACTGGCACAAGAGACAGGGAGCAAGCAGACTAAATACACAAGGAGGGGAAGACGAGGAGACACAGGTCCAACAAATTAGGGGCGGGGTCGACAATCACAGGAGCGGGAAACACACAATGGCAGGAAGTGTAAGTCTGAAACGAGAGGAGAGGTTAGACGCACAAAAATAAGACGAGATGAAAAAAAAATATGACGAAAACAGAAAACATGACCTAGATATCAGGACGGAACATGACAATCAGTTTACTTTTGAAAAGCTTGATACCACTCACGTGTTTGTATGGTAAATACAAAGCCAGCGGCTGGTTAGCTTAGTTTAGCTTAGCACAAACACTGGAAACAGAGGAAACAGCGTAACAGAAATACATCTACAGCTAAGTTTCTGTCTTCTATCTTGTTTACAAAAAGTGTTTCCTCTGGACTTAGTCAAGCTAGCTGTTTGTGCTAAGCTAAACTTACTAGCCTCTGGTGGTATTGCTTTAAAAATGCAAATTGAATTAAATTTTCTATAATTTTCTCTTTTGATTTTGAAAATATGAATTAAAGAATTTGGGTTGTTGTATTGAAAGTAAAATTTCTCCGAACGTTGTGTGAAGTTTTCTGTTATATCTTTATCCACAGGATCTCATCTGTGTCCCCGGAGTTTAGACTGTGCCCGGGCAGGACGATACTTCTGCCAGCCGGGCAGCTCACACTGTGGCCCCTGCCTGCGCTCTTTGGTGGAGGACTCCCATGGCCGATGTGTGGTCAAGAAGAGACATTCTTCTCACTCTGCTCAGATCATTAAAGGTCGGTGGTCAGTCCTCACTGTGGCTACATACGTACATAGTACCAGTTCAACTTTTACAAAATAACAAAACAACATGCACATTTTGCTCAAATACAGTTATCCCATTTAGAAAATGTCATGTTAGATTTTACATTATCATTGCTGGGTAAACACCTGTGTCTTCCATACCCAGGTTTATCACACAGACTTTATTTTAAAAGCCTAGGATGAATGAACCCTGAACACATCATCAAGGTTATTTTCTCAAACTGATTTCACAGATTTCACATCCTTTTATTTATTTTGTTTCTTCTTTTCCCTCTTTCATTTTTTTTCCTGCACCATACAGATAATGTAGAGGCTTCTTTACCTTCTCATCCTCTCTGTCCTCCTGTTGCTGTTGACCCACTCCACCTCCCACACATCCATATATCTGTCTGTCCTTGTTTTTCATTTCTCTGTCCTTTCCCTTACTGCCGTCCACCCACACACAGTAACACACACACACACACACACACACACACACACACACACACACACACACACACACACATATATATTCCTCCTACACCACAGACCCCAGGCAGTGAGATGATGCTCTGTAGTGCAGCACAGGATCACAGGAAGTGAATGGGCAGTGGTTCCCTCATTGAAACAATCAAGGCTGCAAGGTTTTTTTTTTCTGTTTTTTGCCACATGGGGCTGCGTTATCTTTTTGTTTTTAATCCACTGATTTTACCCTCCACAGTATTACACACAGTAACTTAAGGCATCAGTACTGATGGTCAGGTGATCTGTGTGGCTCAGATGATTTATTTTAGGAACAAAGATCATTTTGAATGTGAGCCTGACACATTGTCCAGGTTTCAGGTTTGTTGCTCCAGAGGTGCCTGGAGTCAGACTGAAGTCACTACTAGAATCACCTCCTCGTGGTTGTCTGCATCCTCCACACATCCTTGTTTATCCAGAGACATAGAAAATATGAACCATTTGTGTAAAATTTTATCATAACTTCTGTGAAGTCTTGAGTTATGGCTAAAAATTGTTTTGTGAGCCCACACTGACCTTGACTTTTGACCTTTGACCACCAAAATCTAATCAGTTCGTCCTTGACTCCAACTGAATGTTTGTGCCAAATTTGAAGCAGTTCCGTCAGGGCGTTGAGAGATACTGGGATATTTTGTCCTTGAGAATGGGACAGACGGACGGACGGACAAGCCGAAAACAATAAGCTCTGGCTGTTGCCGGCGCGGAGGAATAAAAATGAGAACATGAGATATGACATGGATTTAACTACTGTGATCTATGACTTGAAAGGACTTTGACCTGGATGTAAAAACTCTATGTACAGTTTTGACTCTGTGTCATTTTAATGGTCTGGATGCAGAGAACTGAAATGCCGCTATCTCGACCTGCAGGTTGCTAATGAAGACTCAAGATTTGATTTTGAATGCTCTATAAGAAACTTGACTTGGAGTCGTCTCACAGGATGTAAAAAAGGCTCTCGGTTTGACCAAGACGGACTCTGACATATATAACAAACAGACTTCAGATACATGTTTAAATTCATCTGTTGCACAAAGCTGTTCAGTTCCTGACTATCTTAAACCACACTGTGGTACAATGAATTCTGGGTAAATTAAGACATTTTTCAAAATAAAAAAGTAAGTGACCGAGGAACTGCATCCAACCACTCAGCTCTGTTTCCCCTCAGCAGAGCGTTTGTATTTTGGACAGTTCCAAGGACATTTTACTTGAAGAGTGAAACAATAAAAAAAAAAAAAAAAAAAAAATTGAGTTAGTCTTGGGGTAACGTTTCTGGATTAAAATGCGTCAGTCTTTATTTTAGTGGAACATTCTGACTAACATCAGACTGATCTATGAGCCAAACTAAGACTGGACCAACGCCGCAGACCAGTCTGACATATCTTTGGAGCCGGCCCCTGATTGGTCGGCTGGTCAATGTCTCTGTTGATGGTGTCATCTGTGGCTCTGGGGGAGCTTTATCAAGTCTGAGGAAATAACCCTGATGATGTCATCAGCTTGAACTCTTAACAGAGCTCTGTGTTGCAAACTGGGGGTGTGGAGCTGGAAGAACATGGGTGTTTCTCCGATATTCTGGACATTCTAACAAAAGACGAATTGGAGTCTTGACCTTTACTAGAGTTGGGATATCTCTTTCATGGGTGGAAGCAGCACAGGCAGGGAGGAGCCAAACATAGGCTCAAATGCAGGATGACACAGGGAAGTATTTTGTAGGCAGGTGTAGATAAGAAAACAGGTGAGCAAGTGGGTAAAAAGACAGGAAAAGTGATATCTGGTGGGTGGAAAATGGCACGCCTGGGGATAAACATGGCCAGGGAGAAGTAGGTAATTAAAAATGTGTCATGTCTCCTATGACTTCTCCAACTTTATGGAAGTACATTACCAAATCACTGAAGTGCTTCTGTAATTTATTATTTTACACCAAATGCTAAAAGACTGGATTTTGATCAACATAGGTTTCTGAAGGCGGATATCAGAGCCAGTATTTTGTAGATACTAAACCAGTGGAACAGCCACGTAAATACTGATTTACAACTTTAAGTAGATGCTGGTCTTCTATGCATGAACTCATATACCACCCTCACCAGCATCAGATCACCTCAGACCAGCGGGAGCCAACAAAATGCTGATTAGGCCATCAGCCAGCTCTAGCTGGGCTGGTTTTTCAACAGGTTTCTAGCAGCTCTAAAGATAAATGTTAAGTCTGTCCGATTTACTTGAAGTTTGGTGCATAAACATGCTGTTAATGTAGCACTGACAAAGTTCCCATATGTAGTAAATAGATAATATGAAATGATAAATCTCCACTCACTGGTAATTATGTTTCGTTTGTGTTCCTCCAGGTAAGATGAGCACGTACCCTGAGCTGGATGAGGAGATCGACTTCCTGTCTGCCATCATCAGTGAGCAGAGAACTGAGGCCAGGCTGCCAGGTAGTGGATAGGCTACTACTTTACACCTGTTGGTATTTTCTACAATACCTCTGCTGATGTAATGGCTCCAAACTTTTCATTTCTTTTCTCAGCTCCGCCCTCCCAGGATGTCTCTCAACCCATATCCAAGCAGCTCAGTGAGTCTGGCCACACCCACAGAGCTTCAACTGCAGCGCAGCCTACAAGCCAGAGTGTCCAATTCACCAGAGTGGCTCCACCCACCACCACCACAAACCACACGCCTGCTTTGCTCAGCGATCCCGTCATCCTCCCCTACCCCTCCAACGACCGCGTCTTCATCAGTAAGTCTTTAACCACAACCTGCTTTGCTCAGTGACCTGAGCTCTGTGGTCACGGAGATTTGCTTTGATGATTCACAGGCAACACATTTATTAAAAACACTAAAAATAATATAACAGAGGACAGCAGCAAGCATCGGTCTGGCAGCGATGCACAGGAAGTTTCCATTATGACTTTGTGTTGTAAAGATTGACTGAAGTTCAGTTCAGTTCACATCTTTATTGTCCTGTGAGAGGACATCTTTGCAGCAGGGCAGCAAACAAACAAAGTAATAACAGTAAGACAATAAGACAAGGAAAAGTCCTATACATGCAATATAGAATACAATTAAGATTCAGGAGATAAAAGCAAAGACGAGCTGCAACAAATAAGAACACAGATAAGATGATATGCTAAGTGCTGGAGCAGATCTGATGATCTGAAATCATGTCATGCACAGCAGGTCTGTCAAGGAATATTCTAAATCCAATAACGTAAAGATTGATTGATTGTGATTGTGAAAAATTGTCTGTCTCATGAGTTCTCACATGGGCCTGGGCTGCTGCACTGAATACACTGCATGACGGAGTCACACAATGTCACTTTCACTAATGGAAAATGAAACCCGACCTGGCTGCAGAGAGAGGGACCTGCAGTCCCAGCCCCGTTTGGATTTTGGTCAGTAGATGGCAAAGTTGCGAAGCCTGGAGAAAAAGTTGTGCGCAAGCTATTTCCAATAGTTTGTTCCTGCAGTATTGGAGGCTGCATTTCTAGGACCCTACTTTTTCGTGCCAGCACCAACTCATGAAGAGGAGTACTGGAGGCTGATTTTAGGACCGCTGTCATAAAGGGTTATTCCACCCAAATACTACTTTCTGTCTTGTGGTTGCTATTAGCACAATTAGGGTTATATACAGGTAGTTGCATCTGGTTGTATTGGTTCGCCAATTCAAATGGTTCAAACCTGTGTTTTCTGTAGTAGGAATAATCAAACATCAGTTCTGTTTGACTGCGTTAATGTGCTGTAGTGCTGTAATCATGTAGTGAACTGCAGCAGAAAAAGCAGGTGAGGCATTATGAGGGAGGAAGATTTCCTGTGATTCTAAAATTAGAAAATGATATCCCAATATGAGGTAAGCCGCCTACGTATCTTTCATTTTTTCCAGAAAACATTGGCAGAGCAGTAATTCCAGTTACAAGTGTAAACAATGGGAACCATTCAGAATCGTTTGATTCTGTTTCCCAGCACGTCCTCATTTTTCCATTTAGCTACGTCACCATGACAACAGTATTTGAAGGTCAAACTTTAGCATTTAGCTGTGGTAGTGGCGCGGTTTGGTTTTTGCTTCAGTCCGTATGATCAGTGTTAAAACACACATGCACACACACCATCAAAATCCCAGGAAGAACCAGGATCTTGTTTCCTGGTAGTCGACCTGGAAACAGAGATGATGGAAAAAATGAATCCTTAGAAGAATACCCATCTTTATGGAACATCAGACTCATCAGAGAAGTGATCAGTTCAGTAAAAGACCTCCTTTGTCAGACCAAATGTTAGCACTGCACGCTGGGAAATCTCGTGGACTGTCCTCGAGTTAACAGAACAGAACTTGTGTTACTGTCAGTTAGTTCTGCCACACTCCATTACTGTCATCAATGCTGTTTTCACTGTTGTTGTTTTCACTGTTGGTGATAACCAGCTGCACACACACACTCCGCTTCAGACCCGTCTCCAGAGCAGTCAGGCATCATGTCGTCCTCTAACACCTTCAGACCCGCACAGCGTTCTCTTGTCCTGACTGTCTCTATTTTTTTCTTCTCAGCAATGAGCACCATCTTCATCGCGGCAGGTTCACTGGCTTTAATCATGGCCGGGGCCTGTTGGGTCAGGTAAGAATCTTATTCCTCTCTTTCTACTGCTTTAGACTTTACTGTCTTTCCCTTTCAGAATTTGACAGTACAGCCTGAGGGTCTGCATCTAGAATTATTGTTATTATTGATTAATATGCTGATTATTTTCTCAATTGAAATGATTAATTGGTCTATGAAGTGTTAGAAGAGTGACTGTTTTCCCTAACCAACAGTCTAAAACCCAAAGATGTTCTTGGCTCTATTTTAACAGTCCAAAGCACATGGTCTGAAGCTCATGGCACACATGCTATTTTAACGGGGGAAAAAAAAGACTCTGCTCCAGGTGCATGGTTCAGAGGGGTTGTACTGAACCCCTTCATTATTCATGGGAGTGTGTTTGGTGTAACATGCAATAAACCAATCACAGTGCCATCTCCAGATTCCCTTTAAAAGCCAGGTGAGCTGCACCTTGTCGTATTGTTATTATAATGGTGCAGTGTTTCACACAGAGTTAGATTCTGTCTGCGGTCAGGTGATCACATACTGTGACTGACCAGAGAGTCCAGTCCAGACCAGTAAAACCAGTCCTGTCCAGTGAGACCAGTCCTGACCAGTGAAACCAGTCCTCACAAGTGAGTCCAGTCCTGACCAGTGAAACCAGTCCTGACCACTGAGACCTGGCCTGACCAGTGAAACCAGTCCTGTCTAGTGAGACCAGTCCTGACCAGTGAGTCCAGTCCTGACCAGAGAGTCCAGTCCAGACCAGTAAAACCAGTCCTGACCAGTGAGTCCAGTCCTGACCAGTGAAACCAGTCCTGACCAGTGAGTCCAGTCCTGACTAGTGAGTCCAGTCCAGACCAGTAAAACCACTGAAACCTGGCCTTTCCAGTGAGACCAGTCCTGACCAGTGAAACCAGTCCAGACCAGTAAAACCAGTCCTGACGACTGAGTCCAGTCCTGACCACTGAGACCAGTCCTGTCCAGTGAGTCCAGGCCTGACCAGTGAAACCAGTTCTGACCACTGAGTCTAGTTCTGACCAGTGAGTCTAGTCCTGACAACTGAGCCCAGTCAGACCAGGGAGTCTCCTGACCAGTGAGACCAGTCCTGACCAGTGAGACCAGTCAGACCAGTGAAACCAGTCCTGACCAGTGAGCCCAGTCCTGGCCAATGAAACCAGTTCTGACCAGTGGGTCTCCTGACCAGTGAGTCTACTGACCAGTAAGGCAATGAGGAGTTTACAATGCCCTCACCATTGGTAAAATCACAGAGACACAGCAATACATGCCAGTCAGTTCTAAATGCATTCAAAAAGATCTCCTCTAGTCATTTCATTTTTTTCTGACAGATTGCAGAAAGGTGTGCGTCTCACTCAGAAGGTGGACTTTGCTGCGTATGGACTGATTAGAGCCCAAAACTTTGACAGTTTGGTAAGCAGAAAAACTTCTATCTCTCCTCGATATAGTAACAGTAATAAGTCTAGTAACTGATAATATCATATACCACAAGTACTATATTGTAATATATTGAAAATTTTTAAGCTTATAAATTTGAAATACTTTATCAGTGGCACGACTGTAATAATATAACTTACTGATACCACTGTAGCCAAAACATGTAGATGTTGAATGTGACAGATCCTTTTTACAGATTACAGACCTGTTGTCATACTGCTACCAAATCTGGAATTAAACCTATGTGCTTAACAACTTTCCACAAAGAACAATAGGCCAGCATATCATAATATCTTCATTTTTTTTTAAAATGCATCATCACCAATTGTCCGATTTCTTGCTGGGTAGCATTGGCCATTAAGCTAGTTGTATGTGTCTCGCGCCCCAGAAGGACCTGTCCTTTCAGCTGTGTCAGAACCTGAACATGTGCAGTACAGACACATGCTAGAAAGTGCATATCACCTGAACCGTGTGACTGTGATGTGGATGAATACCACTGACTTTCTCATGGCCCCTCTGCCCCTCGGTGTGCTCTAGCCTGGGGACAAGAAGCTGGCTCACAGCGCTCAGATGTACCACTACCAGCACCAGAAGCAGCAGATGCTTTCCCTGGAGAAGTGAGTCATCCTCCACACACACACACACACTCATCTTTCCTTGACATGTCTGATTGGCCCAATCCCAATGTCCCACCTAAGGCCTAAGCCCTGGAACCTCACAGATTTAATTGACGTCACCTGGTAAATTACTGAGTGCAAGAGGCTGAAAGGGTTCAAAATGGTATGAAGAGGAATGGGACAGCACTTCGTCACATATCACGCACAACAAGCCATCTTACCGAGAACACACCTCCAAATCTGTGAGTCTGTGAGGGTGGACATTGGGGTTTGGGCCCTTGTCTCCTCTGTCATCCTCCCCTGCCTTCTCTGCCTCCATCAATCTGGGGCTGTCCTCTGAGTATTGTGTGACTTTTATATGTCTTTAGATCTATGTGTCTGTGCTTGCTTTACTGGAAAACTGGGAGTCCAACATACTTGTGGGGTCTGACAACTTTGTTGGGCTTTATGTCAATATAAAGTGTGTGTGTGTGTGTGTGTGTGTGTGTGTGTGTGTGTGTGTGTGTGTGTGTGTGTGTGTGTGTGTGTGTGTGTCTAGACACAGGGATGAGCTCAAAGTTCCTGACTCAGGAGCATCAACAGACGAGGAGAACGAGGACGGAGATTTCACCGTATATGAGTGTCCTGGTTTGGCACCTGTGAGTAAATGATCTCCACTTTCATTATGTTGTACTGTGTCTATCATCACATCAGTATAATCATCCACAGTGATGAATCAGTTGTCAGTGGGAAACCCTCAACCAGAATTAAAGAACAAAATCATGGCAAATAAATGTATATCTTTCATTTTCAGTCATTTAACTTAAAGCTGCACAAATCAATAATATTTATATTAGCAATGGCTCAAATGATGATAGAGCTGCAGTTTCCAGCAGTTCTATGGAGCATTTGCTTTAATTGTCTAGCCTGCAGTCTCAAGTGTTAAGGCCAGGCTAGTGAGCCCAGGAGACTGGAGGAGGATAGAAGAACATTTATCACCGTGTTATAGGAACAGCATTTGAGCCGTGGATGAGCATGAGGCCTGGGCTCGTGGTTGGTTGAGCTAAGCCGGGTGTCAGGAGAATGAATATTAGTGCAGTAAGATTCTCTCTGGACTGTGGTTGTCCACAAATTCTCCTTTACATCCTTCCACATCTTTCCTTAACGTCATGGTGTTTTCCACTGAAGTCAAGGACAAGTGGTTAGAAAAGGAGATTATTTAGACTTTTGACATTTGATTTCTGATAATGGGCTACGTTACCCAGAATCCTCTCCCCTCTCTCTGTCCATCTTTAGACGGGGGAAATGGAAGTGAAGAACCCGCTGTTTGATGATTCCACCCTCTACCTTCAGAAGTTCCACAAGTAAACCTGGACGTTCAACACTGCAGCACTTGTGTGTACAAATAGTTTAATTTACACACATCCTCAGTCCTCAGTCCAGTCATTTAATGGAGAGGATGGAGAGTATGAGGTACATGGAGGAGCAAGAGCAAGAGCAAGAGGAAGAGGAGCGCGTGGACAGTGAACGGACGTCACAGAAAGGTTTCTTGTTTGAAGCAGGACTGAATCTGGGACCAATGTCTCCCATCCTACAGCCACACTCTCTTCTTTTTTATGTCATCACTCATTTTTCCTAGTTTTGTTTACAACTGACTTCTGTCAGGTAGCAGACACATATTCAATATAATATCCTTTGTCGATAGAGCAGAGTCCCATGCACATACAGTTTTCTGATGCCACTAAGTTAAGTGCTTCTGTCAGTTAATTGATAGATATATATATTTATGAATAAGTCAATACTCCTTAATTTATCAAGTTCCCATTGCAGGCTATGGTTTGACTGAAGTATTTTTTAAAAGAAATGTGATTTTAATATTTCATGCAGCACCCTGATCTCACTGTTATGTAGCTATTCAGTCTAGTTGCTCTATGCATGAATTGATGATGCTGTGTATGAAACATGGGAGCCAATATGCATTAACAGGTCTTACAAGTTTCTTGCTAACTTGAATGATTTCAAAGGAATTTGAATCTCTCTATGTAGAACTCGGAGACTGAGCGAGGCCATGCTGTATTTATGCTATCTGACTAACGCGGCTGGTCCCCATGGTTTTGTGATCTGTATTTAGCTGCTAATGTGTACAGGAGAGAGATCTTACCTCTCACTCTGTGTTCATACACATGTTCCTCTAGATTCTCCAGTGCTGTGTCAAATATTGAGCTGTTTGCTTTCTTATCATTGACTGTGTTTGCAGGGTTCCTACACATGTGGACAGTCTCAGAAAAGTTGTGATGTTCAAGTTTTGAAAACATTATACCCATTATATGTGTTGTGCATAATCGTTTTTAACTGAAATGTAATAGTTTTGTAGATTAAAGGTGCTATATGTAAGTTTTTACTATCGCTACATAGCTAACATTAGCATTAGCAGCTAATTACTTACTTATCAGTGTAGAAGAAACGTTTGCAAATTCAGCATCAGACTTTATTCCTTTATTCACCAACAGCTGTCTCCAGAAGTGGAAAGCAAGTGCGATTTTAAGCCTCGTTTTGCTTCTGTTTCTATCACGTCTTTTCTTCTACTTCAGTAAGCATGCTAATCAGCTCGCCCTGGCCCATCGGTGCCAATACTACTTTGCGATCGTGAGTCACTGTAGCATCTAGTCTGCCCTCAGTTCAGCATGAGAGGACAAAGAAGTAGCACTGCGAAGAGGGGCGTATTCTACGACGGAGTATTGGGGCCACATTGAGGGAAAAAATATCGGAGATTTCGAGAATAAACTCGTAATTTAAAAAATTCATAATATTTCATAATATAATGAGAATCAAGTGGTCATTTTAGGTTCCGTGTTGTTTTAGAGGGGAAATATAGGGGGTAGGGGAAGCTTTAAAATGAGGAACGTGTAGCATCCTGTGAAGTTATACTGCAGCAGAGGTTTCACAAATAAAGAGATCATCATCATCATCATCATCATCATCATCATCATCATCATCAGCACCAGGACACTGAAAAGATTGTGAAGAAACGGAGTCTATTCTATTGTTAGACAGACAGACAAACAGCAGCTGCCAGAAGCAGCTCAGGCTGCCACTGACTGTCCTTTCACCCGTTTGATTGGTTGATTGTAATATTCCTAAAAAATTATGTTATTTTCAACTTCAACTTTTCAACTTTATGAATTTTTTCTTGAAATATTAAGATTTTATTGTCAAAATTATGACCTTTTTCTCTTAATATTATGACGTTATTCTCAAAATTTCAGATTTCCTGTTTCCTCAATGGGGCCCTAATACTCCGTCGTAGTATTCTGACCTTTTGACTTGTAAACACACCGTCGGCTGAAACTTTTGGCAAGTGACCATTATCATTACCACCACCCACTTAGAATAAACTTAGATATAGCACCTTTCAGGGGAAAGCAGAGAGCATCCAAACACTGTAACACAAGTCCTAAACTTTTATTAGAAGTGAACAGGCAATGTTTCAAGTCTGCCAAGTCTTTATCAGGCAACACATGACAAAAAGGGAAGGTGACATCATGATAATGTCAAGGACAGCCAAAGCAAAATGACAAGAGATAAATATTTGTGTATTTTCACACATAGTATTGGAGAATATTTCAAAAAGAAGGGTCACAGCATAATGTCAGAATATTGTTGAAGATGAAATACACTTAATTTGGCTAGAAAATAATGGTAAGACAGACAGAAATGTAGGGCACTGTTATGCCTAGGAGGAACCTGAGCATATCATTAAAAAAAAAAAGACTCCCCTCTTATCCCACTACTAGGACGACCAGTGCCACAGCAGATTCTAGAATAGATTTATTCATTAATTAAGGTAGAAATAGGTGTTGGGGTGACCATGGCCACAACAACAAACAAAACCATCTATAACAGTATCCACTAACCTACTTAAACTAAAGGGAAAAAAGAAAAGAAGGAAACATGCATCAACAAATATGGCTTCTCACCCCTACAGCTGCCAGGACTGCATTTAGAGGATATTGACATTCTTTACAACAAAGATCAATCAATCAAGACAATACTGAATCGGCCTGTTTGAGAGCCAGGTAAAAGACAAAGAGAATCTGGCATTGGCAGCTGCCATTTTAAAGCAGCCACCACCTACAACTCAACGTACTTGCACACATACTCAAACACAGAACAGGTAAACAGCACTACCCTCAAGCAGGGAGGGACCACAGCTGTTGTGCTGCTGTTTGTGATTCTTAAATGTTTTGAAGTTGAGAATTTTGAAATTAAACTTACTGGAAAAACATCCAAATGTGCTTATACAAAGCAGACATGGCAACTGTGGCCAGAAACCAGAGCACCCAATCAGATGTTCCAATTTTACAGGTTTACAATATTCTGTGTTTTCTTTAAGTATGTTGAGTTGTAGATGGTGAAAATGATCAAGAAATACTCTATCGTACAATCAGGACATAATTAGTACAATCCCATTTTCACATTGTTACATTAAATTTCATTATGGCAATGGGAACTAAAAAGTTATATTTAACTTCCACTGTGGTAATTATATATTTTCAAATAAAAATAACATTCAGATTTTTATATTTTAATTTTCTCACACACAAGTTGCACTCAAATGAAAAAAAAAGGTATCTCAGAACTTTAGTGGGCAGATGTAACAAATGGACCAATGTAACTTTGGTTTCCCTGATACCAATTCAGTGCTAACACTGAATGTTTATAATGATATATATGACACATGACAGATTTGGATTGGTGCATCTACATTGGATATTCTCTGCTTTTTCCTTTACTGGACCTGCTCCCCTCACCTGGCCTAAATACTACATAGGATTGGAAGTGCACACCTACCTTTCTGTATTTTTGCACAGGCCATAGATGATATTACACACCCAGGATGACTCTTCAACTCCAGTGGCCATGGCTGTAACTGTGGCCTCTCGCTGTTGTTTCTCAGGAAAGCCGCACTCTGTGGCACCTCTCTTCAGCCTGCCCCCCCTCCCACAGCATCTCAGCTCTCCCACAGTGGAAGAGCATAATCAACTGTCCTTGACCTGCAAACGAACACAAGTGTCAGTATGTAAAAAGAAACATGTACAGCAGATACCAGGAAGTATTAAGATGGGAAAGCTTTAATTGTGTTGTGAAGATGGTTTATTCTAACCCACAGAGCTTGTAGAACAACATGCAGGACAAATTACTGGTTGGATGTATAAGGAATTAGCAGAAAAGATATCATTCTCATGTTGTTTGCCTTTTTTTAATGATACCTGGCTCTGCTTTCCCTTCACCAGTGCTGAGAGCTAAACAACCTAAGCTGCTTGTCTTGTTTTGGTCATTCTCTCTCTGATGATGACGAGGTCTTGTGAAGGAACTCTAGAACAAGTAATGAGGCTAGCTCTCTTTGATACAGACTGTTTTCAGACTACATATAATAAGTTCTATACACTAAGGAGGACTTCTTTACCACTATGTTTAGCATGCATGTGGATATAACAGAGCTGAAATGAAAGAAATAAATATTTATATAATCTGAAGTCTAACATGGTTTCTTGTGTTGTGTCTTGTTTTTCAAATGAAATAATCACACAGATGTTGGGGGAACATTACTTTCATATTTTGAAGGGTTCATTCACCCCAACCACAACAGGGACTATTGTATTCCTCTGCGCTGGCGACAGCCAAAGCCAGAGGCATATTGTTCTTGGGTTGTCCATCCATCCGTCCCATTCTTTTGGACAATATCTCAGTAACTCCTTGACGGAACTTCTTCAAATTGGTAAAAATGTTCACTTGGACTCAGGGAACGGATTTCACAACACTTTCAACAGTCATGACAAAATTTCACGCAAATGGTTCATATTTTCTATGACTCTGGCTAAACAGGGATGTAATCTGAAACTAGTCTGAGTGGCGGAGGGATACAACCACAAGGTGGTAATTCTAGTTTCTCTCTTTTTTGAGGGCATGTTATGCCTTTATTGGAGACAGGAAATGTGGGGAGACAGTAGGGGAATGACATGCAGCAAAATGTGTCCAGCTGGGAGTCGGACCGGGGACTTGCTGCTTTTGTGTCATTGTTGCATCCCCCATAACCATTTGGCTTTCACGTCACCCCAGGGACTATTTCTTGGGTTGACAGCAGTTCCAAATAAAACTATGGACAACAATTATGGAAAAACCAGTCCATTTCTTGTGGAAATAGATACTGCTTTGGAATTTTAAATGTAGTTTTTCAACACTTTTTCTTTTACGTTTAGCAACAAAAATGAAGCTTTGGTGAAAGTTGAATCAGGAAGATCTCTTCCCTCACTCTCCTAGTCCCAGTCCTATCTCTTATCTTTTTATGGGCTTACGCTTGATGACGATCAATGGAGTCTAACTGCCAACACCCTCCCTGTTGCTTACCTCTATAAATTTCTTTATTCACTTCCATTTCATCTCTCATTATTGACTCATGACTGTAGTGCTTTGTAAATGAGACACTTTAAAATATGCTTCATAGAGGCTAAAAAAACAAAACAGTGTTGTAAAAACTGGAGGATTAAAACAGTGGTAAAGAGCACCATCTGCTGGCACAACACAGTAATCCCAGCCTACAGTGGGATTAAATCATCTGTTAGAATGATCAGATGTGTGGCTCTCATCTCAAAAATGAGAAGTAATAACACAATAATGCAAAAACTACATGTTCTGCATTGATCATTTTAATTTTCTTTATTTAGAATGGCCCCTTTAGAGTGGCACTTTATTTATCAGTACTATAATGTTACTTCCTGCCATTCCAGGTGTCCATCACTTTCAGGTGTGTGTGTGTGTGTGTGTGTGTGTGTGTGTACCTCTGCTAATTTAATCACAGAGATCATGTTAATTTTATTTTGTTCACAGGAACAAGGGTCATTTGAAAAATAGTGATTTATTTGTCGATCATTACCAGAATCACATTTATGTTGATGTTTTTTTATAGATCATTCTGATGATAAAATCACATACTAAACATTAAATATTTTAGCCCACGCACACACACAAACCTAAAGGTTTGGACCTTTTCATTGTGAAGTCATTGGAGCTAATAAAATATGAAGCATCCTTCCAGCTGATTCGGTCTAGCATTTGCTATCAGTCATTTAGGGTTACGTCCTGGGCTGAGTATGGTAGCCATCATCCCCTACATCCCTCATTCCAGGCGTAGTGTGCACAGCATAAGTGCAGTGCAGGTTGACTGAAGACTTATGAGGAGCAGCAGTGTTTGTTGTCAACCCCCTGACAGTACAGCGGATGTAGTATGTTCATTATTGGAATAAAAAAGCTGTTTTTGTAGATAATGTTGCTGCCAGGGATGATTCTAGGATCAGACCTTTAGGGTGAGAATGAAATGCATACAGTACCTTGCTAAAGTGTTCAATAGCCTGTGCTGAGACTTGGAAAATGCTATTTTTACAAGTAAAGTACATGCAACTTGATAGAGCTCAAACTGACTTGCCATTGTGTAGACAACTGCATGTTACTCTAATAATGAGTTGTCAATTTATCAGCTACTCTGCTGACCATTTTAGACCTGTTAATAAAATAACTTCCTGTTATACACCAATTATTTAATAATGTGACTAGAAAGACAACAAGAATCTGAGAAAACGGACTTTAATGTTGAGCCACAAAACCATAACATGGTTAACAGAGGTGAAAAAAATGGACTGAATGAAAAAACGGTTAAAGTCACTCTCTTCATGAACTACCTGCATTAAAATAAAAGATAATGAGAGGTAAACAGTAATTGAATAAATAATGATTTTTTTTTTAAATTTGGCTCAATTCACCCTAAAACTCAACTCATCTCACCCCAAAGTACAATGTCACTTATGAATTAAGCTGTGTCGCCTCACAAATGGTAAATATATCACTTTTTGGTGACTGACTCTCTCAAGCACCTCTCCTTATCGATTGACATCACAGCCAGGTGCTGGAGTCTACTTTGCCCCATGGTCCTCCTAAGTCAGGTATGGAGCAGACGTAAGGCACTAAAAGACCTTTCACAGCTAGAGCTGCCGACTGGTATGGTCATTAGAGATGTCACGATACCAGAAATTTAGTAGTCGATACCAATACCAGTGAAATTCCACGATTCTCGATACATATTTCGATACCACAGTAAAAAAAATAAAAAAAATAAAATTCACTCCTTAATTGAAAAATACAAATAAAAAAACAAAAAAGAAAGAGCAGTGACATGTAGCCTTTAAGAATTTAAAATATAATAAAAAAATTTAATTAATTTTTAATTTAAAATTAAAATATAAACAATCAACTTTTTATTGCACAGCAGTTCAACTGTGGTTTGGAAAGTGCGAAGGTACCATTTACAAACGGGCTTTTGCGGGTCTATAATCAACCCCTGATCATCTGCCTCAAAAGCAAAATATTATATACACGACTCGTCTGGCTTTTTCGTTCAAAGAGCCGAGGTGCTGCAGCTGGACCAAGTTGTGCGCCTGAACTTGTCGCCATCTTTCATTTGTTATTGCGGCTACACCTGCAGCCTAGTGGTGGAGTTTCGTCATCCTCCCTTAGGCAGAGACCGAGCATGTGCCAGAGAAACTGTGCTCACGTGTGTTCCGAGTCATTCAAATGTTGCCAGTGATACAGTAATTTGTGTTAATGTTCTTTGACACGTTAGATTACTGTAACTTTTGAGGTAAGACACTTTTGCACCATGAGATAAGTTGCACATACAGTTAATGACATCCTGCTTGTGCGCAATGAGAGCAGATGCGCAAGCAGGCATGAAGAGCACTGATTCAACTGCTTCCCTGAACAGGATGTCAATCTTATGTTACTTCCTAAGAGGGTAACTATCAATCTCGTTATGTGTCGGTACTTTTCGGTACCTTCGATACCGCGAAAAAACGGGTACCGTTCCGTTTTTTGCCATGTGGCACCGACTTGGTACCGAAATATTGGTTCTGGTGATAACCCTAATGGTCATGGCAACCTGAATAGCTTTCGGGAGCATGGAGAGCATGTCTTGAACAGCACCAACCTCTCTCTTGCGCCTCAGATCTCAGTCTTTTGCAACCATCACTTCCTCTGACTTCAGGTCAATATGGTAATGCAGTGCCAGAATTCCATTAAGCAATTCTTCATTCACATCAGCAAAATGTTTCTCAAGTTATGAGATCATTCTGTTTTGGACAAGGAAATAACAATGTTCTTTTGAGTTTTTCTGACTCGGAAGAACCACTGACTTCCTTATCTGCCCCACAAGTTGACTCAACAACAAATCCATCCATTCGCTTTGTCTTGCACCTGTCCAGAAGATAGCTCTGGAACTGCTATCTGGTTAGCCTCACATAAGGCCTTTGTTCTGATGAAGATGAAGATCTGCAGCAGTGTCATCACTGTGCGTCTCCTTAAGGGAGTCAATCACTGCATCTTTGTATGTCACTGCTTGGGAAAGATCAATGGTCTCCTTCTGTAGTTATCTGTGTAAACATGCTGTGACAGACAGGAGAGCCTGGAAAACGAACAGCAAATACACTGAGGAGAACAGGGAAATTGTCAAGTACTGCATTTACTGAACGAAGCTGGCATGCCCAACGTGTGTTTGACAACAGCACAAGTTCACCTGTCTGCAATGTTGATATTTGATGACTTGTTAAATGATCTTATTCATCTGATTTGTACAGACACACATGAATGTGACATATGAATGTAATGTAAGCATGGCTGAACATAAAGTCAGCACTTGCCTAAGTTTAAGACATAAGGAGCTCTCAGAAAAAGGTTGGAAAACCCCTGAGCTAGCAATGTAGTTTTGCCTAAGCAGGTACAATGTTAATATAAGAGAGGGTCAAGCTGGATATCTGCTCTTTGCTTGGGTGACAGTGGTTCTTAAAGGCAGATACAGGCATTAGGTCAGGGTAAGAGAATGGTGCCTTCATGACAGCACAATTTGACACCCACTGCAGGGCCTGAATAGTTCAAAACATTATATAACATGAAAACTGTGCTTATATAGGGATGTTCATACAAAGCAATGCATTGGGGTAAATAAATGAGAAAAGTGTGGGAGTATGGAGAAGGCACAAGAGCTCAGAGGCCAGGGGCAAAGACAATTCGTTGAAACAGTTATGATGTGGTTGGTGCCTACAGGAGCTGCGCAACCCTGTGCCCCTTTCCTCTGCAGAGCTGTGAGAACAGGAAGAGGAAGACCAGCTTGTGGTTTACAAATCTAAATCATCAGTACTGAATGCTGTTGTGCCAACTCTGCAAACAGCAGATGCATGAGCAGTTAAACAGGAAGATAAATGAGTGTGAAACAAGGTGGCACGGTGGTACGTATATGTGGTGATGGGCGAAGGTTTTACAACCTCAAACAAATCTACTGTCAAATCCAAATTCAAATTTCTTTCTGAGAGGATAATGGTAGTCAAGTCAACGTCAAGTCATTTTTTATTTATATAATACCAAATCATAACAGAAGTTATCTACAGAGCAGGTTGACCGAAGTCTTCACAGTGTATTCCTTCAGTACACAGAACATGTCAAATCTGTACATTTAAAATTTCAGCATGATAAGATTTTTATCCTCTCTGCTCTCAGTCTACTGACCACCGACAGAGCTTGTACATTGTCTTGCCACACCCTGACAGCGAGAAGCTGGGTGGGTATGTGTTTAAACTGTCAAGCAAGAAATGAGTCAAGTATTTAAGAGGGCAGGATTTCATTTATATTCTAGGATGCACTGAGCAGGATAAAGCTCTACGGACAGCAGCCTGATGCCATGTTACCCAGGTAAGTTTATTTCACTCAAACCCAATCTGCTAAACTGATATCAAAGTTTATCAAGTTTACTACAGATTCACAGTGTACAGAATGCTACAGTATGTGTCCTCAGCTGATGGAAAATGTGTAAAACAGGTATTTAATTTTTCATTGATTTTTATTCTGATTTTCTTTTTTTCTTTTTTTCTTTTTCTCTTAAAAATGTTCTGTTTTTAAAACGATGTTGAGTTTGTGGTGTACCCAGTTATCAGGGTGTGCCAACGTTAGAGAGCCGTTTCCTGCCTGGTTCATTTTAGAAGATGCCTCATCATCAGTACACACGAGAAGAGTTTTTAGAATATCAATATCAAGTTATTATAAGTCATTATTATAAGTCATACTGATACAAATCTGTGCTCTGTCAAAAATGACTCTGACCAGTCTCCATTTTATTTGATAGTTACTTGATTTGATGGAATTATTTTGTGCAAACTGGTTAATTTATATTCTTTCTTTTTAACCTTGATCATACATTTTCTTAGGCAATTAGGAGTGTGCAATACTGATGACGAAATCCTAACCCTAACGAACAGAAGCAGAAACAGAACGTATACAGAAAACACTGAGAGAAGGACACAGGCAGCAGTGCACATTTCATGAAACCATCTGCTAGTTTACTGTTTACTAGTTTACTAACAATCTTTTCTCACAAATTTTCCCCCAAAATTGACCATATTAGAAAAAAAAAAGATTTTATTAATGTTTGTTACATCTCTGCTGTTAGCTCTCTTGTAATTAATCTGTCACAAGTTAGCCAACTGATAAGTTTGTCTGAGAAAGCAAATAATCATTTGAGTTAAAAAGAATGAGATGTTTTCTGCAGTTGGAGTTTTTTTTGCTGTTAACACCATGCCCTCGGCAGTTCCTGCAATGTAACACTGTTAACAGACCGTCATATCTCTGATCTACCCTTCCTTCCTTTCTAGTTCCAGACCAGTGATCTGTGCCATTTTGCCCGGTTGCCATGACACCATCTGAATCCCAAGCCTTCCTCTTCTTCTTCCTCACCCTCCTCAGCTTTCTCTCGTCCCTGTTTTATTTCAACTTGTTGGACCAGAAGTTTCATCTGCAGAAAAATCATCCAGGTGTTCTACAAAGAAACATCAGCATCCTGCTGTGGCACTGGCCATTTGGCCGCTCCTACAGGCTCCATGGGGACAAATGCCTCCAGATGTACAACATCAGCCGCTGTTTGCTCTCTGATAACACCTCTGCCTTCTCCAGTGCTGATGTGGTCGTCTTCCATCACCAGGAGCTGAGTAATGGTCTATCGCCACTGCCCTTGCACCTGGATCGTCCAGCCTCCCAGCACTGGGTGTGGATGTCCATGGAGCCTCCTGTCAACAACGTAAACCTTACTCAGCTCAATGGCCTCTTCAACTGGACGATGAGCTACAGACGTGATGCAGACATATCCATCCCTTATGGAGAAACCATTCAAGGAAGTGATGAGCTCAGCCTCCAGCTTCCTGCTCTAAATCGCTCCTGTCTTGTCAGCTGGGTTGTCAGCAGATATCAGTCTCACCAGGCTCGGGCTGGTGTTTACCAAAGTCTAAAGAAGTATATCCCTATAGAAGTGTACGGCAGGTGGAGCAGGAAACCTCTGTTGGACAAGAAGCTGTTGCCAACCATTGCAAAGTGTCTATTCTACCTGTCTTTTGAGAACTCTGAGGCGAAGGACTACATCAGTGAGAAGCTCTGGAGGAACGCTTTCCAAGCAGGAGCCATACCGGTTGTTCTCGGCCCCAGCAGGGCCACATATGAGGCCCTGGCTCCCCCTGGTTCCTTTATCCATGTGGATGATTTCAAGAGCACAGCACATCTGGCTGCCTACCTGAAGCGCGTGGCTGCAGACAGACAGGCCTACGAGCAGTACTTCCAGTGGCATCGCACTCACAGAATCAAAACCTACACTGACTGGAGAGAGAGGCTGTGTCAGATCTGTGTTGAGTACCCCAGTTTACCAGCCAGTAGAATCTACCACGACCTGGAGAGCTGGGTTAACAGCTAAGATTTTAGCTCTTCTTCTCGCTTTGAATTCACTGAGGTGTGACCACATGCAAATGTGAAGCACTACATGTGACGTGGGAATACTCAGTCAACCATAGAATTTTGGTTATAGAGTGAGGAACTGCACACAACAGAAACAGTTCAGTTCAGTCTGAAAAAGCAGAAGTGGGAACTTGTGTGTAACCATAAATAAGCATGTAACATTTGTTTCAACCACAGAGGCGAGTTTCTCTTCACACAGTGTGAAAAGTGTTGGATATTTCATTCTTCAACTGAAATGTCTGCACATCAAATTACAACAAAGGCATTATGTTTTCATTTTCCTGCCTGCTAAGTGTGCTTTCACAATGATTTAATTTTTGCAATTTGGTTAAATTAAGGCAGCTGAAAGTACTTGGTTAAGCACAACTATAAATAATATTTGTGTAGCACTCTCAGCATAGTTATAAAGTGATCTGACACAGTGTGGTGAGCTTTGATAAAGCCTGGAGCTGAACCATTTAACTCTCTGTAAGTGATTAATAGAATTTTGAAGGTATTTTCTTCTGGTAGCAATTAGAAGCCAATGCATGAGGGCTAAAATTGGGGTAACATGTTCTCTCGTCATAGTTCAAAGTTGTGGACAATTTGGTGCTTTGTGTTTTTTTTTTGCTGTGTAAAAAAAATAGATCAGAATCTCCTGTGTCAAAAAAAACAGACATTTTGTACACCTGATCATTCTCCCTAAAGGCCTCAGGATGCTTCAAACAAAATGTTGATCAGATTTTCTAAAAGAAATTGTGATCAACATTAACATGATCTGATCAAAACCTGCATCTGATCATTTTTGTGACTTTGAAATCAGCAATCCGACAACCGCACCCATGCAACAAACGCCTTGTGTGTGGAGGTGTGAAAGAAGACTGAGCAGGGTTCTCTCTCAAACTCTCTTTTGTCAGGCTTGACATGTTTTGTGTGTACAGTGAGATTGACATTTGTACAATTCATCACCACGTTGAGAACAGACAAGCAAAAGACATGGAGAGCTTGGAGAGATCGGGGGGGACATTTGCTGTATGAGGTCAGTGGGTGGTGGAGGAGGAGTATTCAGAGCAAATAAAACCTTCCTATGTTCCTCAAAAAGAAAGAAAACGTGGCAGAAATCATACAAAAAGACTAAATTAACAGTTAGCTTAAAGCTAGGTTAAAGTTGCCAACTGTCAATCAGGATTGTATCTACCACTGATGACATTGAGGTCCTCTGTTTTTTATCTGGGAATGTGGGATCTGTACCATCTGAGGAGCAATTATATTCCACACCTACAAATTACACATGGTGGGTATTCAATTACTTGAATCCAGTGTGGACTCCTATGTTTAGATTTACTTTTTGACTTTTTCAGCCAACAAAATAAATAAATAAAGCATTCAGCATTTCCCATCAGAATTGTATTCCCGGCCTCCACAAAACTTTGTGCATTGGAGGGACTTGGACTCGTGAATTCAATCAACACAATTAGCAGGCTAATAAAAGGGTCTCAAGTTGCATTCCTGTAACACAGTAAGACATTGAAAAAGACAACCAATCTCACAGTCATACCTGTGGGTAATGCAATTCAGAGTCACCATTGAACCTACTCTGCAAAGGAAGAGCATGAACCTGCAACCTTCTCACTGTGTGGTGACAATGCTAACCACTGCACCAATATAACGACCCCTACAAATAAAACTCACCTCCTGATGCAAAAGTGGCTCATGAAAGGGGAAGGGTCGTAATAGTATAATATATATGCTACACTGATGAAATCAAAAATGACAACTTCTTAAATGCCAATGATGCATATATGATGATGAAAACCAGAAAACCACTTCCAATTCAGCTTCCTCTGATGAAAGTACTGTTTGTTTATTATTCTCTCTTCTTAGTATTCACAGGTTCAATTTCTTCCATTTGACTTCATTTCTGCTGCTGTTGAGAGGTAATGGTAATAACATGTTTGAAAACCAAATTTTGAAAACATTAAATTCGAATTAAATGATGGATCAACTCTAGCGCAGTCATCATCATCGTCTTCGTCATCACCTTCAACATGTCCCAAATTGACATCATAAAAAGGCACACCCATTAGTAGAGATAAGCTTTTAGATGAAAGGAAGGCTCATCTAAAGGAAATGTCTATCTGATTCTGATGTTGCAGCACCTTAATAAGGACTGCAAAGCAATTGTGATGTGCATGGAGTGTAACGGTGATCACATCTCTGCATTACATCCAGGTCCAGCTCTGTGATCAGATGAGGTTCTGGTAATGGAGCAAGAGCATGGCAAGGAGCAAAAGAGTGGCTCATCACCTGAAGCCACATCCAAGTACACACAAATCTTTGGCCAATCATGTCCCAGAATCGGCCTGGTTCATTTGTATCAGACAGGACATGAAAACCAGAACCTGCCCCCCAAGTGTTCCTGTAAATCTCTTGCTAGGTCAGAACATTCTGAGTGCACTTAAGATACATGAACAGTACAATGGTCTGCATAGCACACCATATGCACAGCGAGCGGATTTAGGCTGAGTAATTGAAACCGGGGATCAAGTTGCTTTTGACTGAAGTGACAGTTTTAGTAGCCATAACTGTGGATGTTGGGCAGATGTTTAACTGCTTTATAGTCAGAGAAAATCGTCACACATTCCTGTGGTTCACGATTAATGACCTCAGCAACAGAATCACAGAGTCGCCCCTAAAGGTGCATGTTTTTGGAAACTGCCCCTCACCAGTTGTGGCCATCTATGGACTGAAGGAAGTAGCTGAACTGGGTGAGAAGGAACATGGCTCAGAAGTCTCCCCCTTTGAAACTCCTGTGTGGCTGATGGCCCAAACTTTGTGTCCAGACTGTTTCTTGAGGAAGTGGAGGCAGGAGTATCTCGCAATGTTGCAGACAAGGAGGAAGTGGGAAGAGAAGATGCTGTTTCCTTACTTAAGAGCGTCAAGTGAGTTGTAATGAGTGGTCTCTGGGACCTATTGTCAAAGCCATAAGGGGCGACAACAAGGTGCAGAAAAGATGAGGTCAGATTAAAGAAACAAGGGACTGTCAAACATCTCAGGCCTGTTACAGTGGTCTACTGTACTTAGTAGTGGTATACTTGTTACAGTAATATACCAGGCAGGGAGTGCTCTGATCCCTGGTGGACATTTTATGTAGTGTTTTATTTGTCTTGACCTCCATTTTGTTTTCAGTTGATCAAAGAACAACCCACAGGGAGCTCTCCTTCGGTTTAGGCGAAGTAGATTTGTCTGTAAGTACATATCTGAAATATTGTCATAATGAGTGTTTTCATGGGGAAATTGTTCTGTGGGAGGAAAATGATTTTAGCTGTTAGGTGAATGTATGTTTCATGTTACCTCCCCTTGAAGCTTACTAGCTAACTGAGAGGGGAATTTCTGTGGAGGTGTTAAGCTAATAACTGTACGACTCATGTGCTAATTCCTATCTGAGTTACTTATCATGCTGAACGTTTGTGTCAGATTGAAATACTGTACTTACCTTAGCGCAGCAGATATCAGGGAAGTCTTTCAAATGTGGATACAAATAGAAAACTTGGCACAAATCCTCTTTGGGTATTACTCTTATATGTATGAATGATGTAGGTGTGAAATCATAAATTTGAACAACATAAAAACATAAAAAATGTTAATTGCACATGAGCACATTTCAGTAAAAATATCAGCAAACTCACAAAAATGTCCTAATAAAATCATGAGTTTGTGGTGATTTATGCATTTAAAAATAAAGAGATTTTTTTTTTTTACAAAAATGTTGATTCATTTTGCAGAATATTTCTCTTTAATTGGGAACACTACAAAATGGATCTTTCATATTAAAATATTAGGATGTTTCTTTTTTGGTGATGATGGCTCTAAATGTTGCCTAATATTCTCCTTATCTTGTGGGACAAGACAAGGATGTCCCTTGAGCACCCAGATATTTGATATTGCCATTGAACCCCTGGCAACAACGTTAAGAGGGACCACTAGTCTGGGTGGATTGCGAAGGCGGGGACAATTACATAAAGTATAGCTCTACACAGATGATCATCTCCTTTTCCTCTCAGACCCATATGCCACCATACCGATTGCACTTGATCTTATCACTGAGTTTGGACGAGTATCACGATATAAGATAAATCTAACATGAGTGTGTTATGCCTCCCAGATTTTAGACTGTATTATTTAGCTTTTGAGATGGCCAAAATTGCGAGGTACTGGCAAACGTCGGGCAACAATGCGGCTTGGACTGAGGTGGAGAAAGAGATATGCTCGCCTTTCCAGCCCATAGAGGTGCTCTCTCAAGAAAGGTCAGATATCACGAATCCAATACTTCTGCACTCAAAGGATGTCTGGACCAGGGTGCATAAAATGTTTAAAGTTACGCACACCCTACAGAGATACTCTTCACTGTGGTATAACCCTGATGTTTGTATTGGAAGGAAATCAGTTTATTGGGAACAGTGGCATTCAAAAGGTTTGAACAAGATTGGTGATCTTTTTGAAAGTGGTGTATTCTTGTCATATGATGTGATGATGCAGAAATTTGGTTTGATGGGGAAAGGTAATTTCTGGAAATTTTTGCAATTGAGGAGTTGCATCGGCTCATGGCCATACAATGATGCTGATAATGTGGTGCTAGAATACATGAAACTCCCGCCTGTTAAACGTAACGCTTCACAATTTTACAAAATTGCTAATTCTTCTCTCAGCAGTGATTCCAACCAGCTAAAGATGATTTGGCAGAGGGACCTTGGTGGGGAGATTGAGGATGAACGATGGGCTGTAATTGTGGCTGACTGTGGAAAACATGTGAGAGAAGCGAGAGGAAAACTTACACAGTACAATGTTTTACATAGATACTATTATACACCATCTCGACTGTATATAATGAAACCTTTGGGTGATAATTTGTGTTGGAAATGCAAAAAAGAAACTGGAACTTTCCTTCATTGTATGTGGGAGTGTGCTTTGATCAGGTCTTTCTGGACTCAGGTCCT